TTTGCATGCATCGTCTGCTACCAACACTCTGATTTCTAGCCCAATGCAGCTGTGATCCTCGATTTACCCTGTGTTTGGAAAAATATGTTAAACACAGCTGATTCGTAGACAGATTTAATAAGCTTTATTTCCCTATAAAGCTACTCATTTGATTAAGGAAAAAATGTCAGTTTCATCCTACCCTAAGATTGCGACGGGGGATAGTTAAACCCATAGCACGTATAACTATTCAACTATACCAGATATTACTGCTGTCCTAGATAAGGGATCGGCGCCAACCCCGGGCCGCCAGTCCTCCGATAACCTTGGCAAAGATTGCCTTTAAATCCCCCGTAAGACCGTAGCTGTTATCGCTTTTGTAGTCATTACCGGCAATCACGTGACCAGAATTCCTAGGGTGGACTTGGAACAGCGAAATATCACGTGACACTTGGTACGGAAGGACCCGTCCTACACTCACAGGCGATGAGTATTCTGCAGGCATTTTAACGATGGATCACGTGACACTGCCACACCGACCGGCCGCCGCTCTGGCAAATAACATCGTCCGGCGGACATAGAACGGACTAATTAACCCCCACTCCTCCCCTCCAACTCCAATAGGGCGCCGGTGAAAGGGACACATCGCGGTCGCCTGATGGGTGTTTTCGCCCTCCCGATCGACCGGGCAGAGAATCCTGGGAGGGGAGGGGGGGGGCACTATATTAAAGGGACTATCCCACCTTTAACATGGGGTTTGAGTTGAGATAGCCAAGTTTGCGGCGAGGTTCAGAAACCACTATCTATCTAGGTTGCAACCCCCGCGGCCTCTTGGTGTTGAAGAAATTCGTTCCCTTCATTTGAAAATGGGCCTTGCGCAAGGCCCTATCTTCAACATGGAGCGACCGTTAGTGTGACGTCACCTCGTTTAGTCATTCTGATTTAAATGGGTTTGTTCGTTGAAAAATCGCTTAAAACTTGGTCTGAACTTTGTTGTGGTGCCTACAGAGTAAAAAGAATCAGCTTTATGACAGTACTGTGGCCTGGGGAAGGAGGTAATTTTGGGCTGTGACGTCACATATTTGAAAGTTTGTGTTTGGAATATGGGAAGCCTAAGATGTTTAATGAAAAATAAATGCCAGAACCGTGTTCCTGGTCATCCAATCTATAAAGTCGGGCACAATTTAACTGGTTTTAACAACATTTTAAAAGGTGGGATAGTTCCTTTAAAACAATCCTGGGGAGGCGCAGCAACAAACTGCTTACTGCGGAGCTGTTCATTTGCAATTTGTATCTCTCCCTCTCGTCCTCTTTGTCCTCTCTTTATCTCTCAATCTATCTTTATCTCCCTCCCGCTATTCATCCATGTCCAATGTCCATCTCCCCTCTCCCTCTCTTTCTCTATATACTTTTTCTCATCCCCTCTTTCTCCTTCCTATTCTCTCTCTTCTCTCCCGCATTTCCGTCGGGATTTGGCGAACAGCGAACAGTCGGGGAGACCACCACCCTCCTCCCCATCGATCAATACCGTACGGGGACGTGACCCGATTCAGACGCACGGCGAACACACAGACATAAAGACAGACAGACAGTTAAGGCGACAAACAGGCAGACGGACGGACGGACAGACGGACGGACGGACGGACGGACAGACATACGGACAAACAGACCGACAGCTATACGGACAGACAGACAGACATACGGAAAAACAGACCGACAGTCATGTGGACAGGCAGTTAGGCGAACGACCATAAAGTCAGACATACGGACAAAAAGGCAGACAAGCAGACGGCCATAAAGACAGAGAAGCTAAGCGGTTATCAGTCTGACACGTTGTCATCTCAATTCAAATCTGACGCATACAATCTTATCACAAGTCCACCAAATGACTTGTCATCCGCAAAGTCATGACGAAATTGGCGGTATTGGGAGTGCTCGCCTGACAATATTCTGTCCGAGCCCAAGCCTCTGAGGAATTCCCAGGACGGATCGACATTCTGCTATTAGTGATAATTGACTTAGCTACTTCTCTGTAATGTACTGAATATATGCCGGCCATTGGGATCTGCCTATTGGCGGTATCAGACCACATAGAAACCGAGAGGTATACGACATTCATTAAGGGGAGCTACCAAGTGCGTACCGATCAAATGCACTGGTGCGTCGGGCGTTTGGAAACTTCTATCGGAGGGCGGGGGACGGGGTGTGGGCGGAAGATGGAAAAGTAACGAAAACTGTGACCGTGACGACGGGAAAAACGATGGTGAGACTACGGCTATATGGACCGTGATTAGGACAGCGACAGCGATACTAGAAAATGACTGACAGTGAAGGTGACAGAGACGGGAAGTGATCGAAACAGATTGACATTGACATAGAGGAGGAAAAATCCTCTACTCACCAGTCCTACGATATTGGCCACCTTCTCTCGGTCCCTCATGGGTATTTTGACGTCGCCGTGACCGGGCACCAGCCAGCGCAGGTCACACTCCATCAGCAGAAGGTCGGACGGAGTCATACACAGCATCACCGGTACCGGCTCAGAGTCTGTCGATAGAGAGGAGACAGAGTGAGAGAGATGGAGTGGTAATGAGGGCTGTCTGGTGACCAGGAGGGACAGATCAGGTGTCAGAGGCTATCTCAGAACACTGACAGAACGGCCGGTAATGAGGAGTGTGCCTCCCGCGCGCTTGTTACGGGTTACGGTTCGTTTACCTTTGCTAAGGGCGAGACTGTGTACCAAAGAAAGCGGCTAACAAATAAAAAGTGGAGCGAGTCAGCTGAGGCGCAGATCAGAGACGCGACCGGATCAAAAGAGCAATAGAATCATCGCAGCCCGACGAGGCGCTAATCAAATGCTCGCTCGAGTTAAAAGAGTCAAAGAGTCATTCAACTAAGGCGTCTGCCGGAGCTCGGCTGTATGGTGGTCCTTCAGAGCTATAGCACCCGTGAGTCGGACGTTCGCCGGTGTGACTCGCCGAGTCAGCGGACTCAGGACTCACCTGAGTCTACAGAGTCGGACTCGTCGCGCAGCAGCTGCAGGAAGAGCAGCTGCTGCAGGCTCAGGTCGGCACCGGCATCCCCCGAGAGCATGCTCTCCACCTGGAGTCGCTGGGTGGCCTGCCAGCGGTCGGTGGGCGCCGCGACCGGACACGACTCTGCACAAGGGGGCAGTGGGGTCAAACGGCGGGTCACCAGGGTCAGGGTCACTGGGGGTCAGAGGTCATACGACTGGTGATGGGAAGAGGACTTCGGAGCTGACTGGGTCTCGCGGTAGCTTCGGCAGAGGACATCGCCATCACTTTACCGCCAACACACACTGTATTAGCAACAAGTGTTGAATACGGGCTTTTATACGTAGGTACAATAAGCGTATAAGCAATAAGCAATGTATGCGACCAGGTATACACAGAGCCCAGTGCCGTACCTGTGAGGTGCTGCAGCAGCCGCCGTCCCCTGGCCGCGTCCCTGGTTACCACCAGCAGCTGAGTATTCAGAGACGGCTCTCGGCCCGTCACCTGCAGTGCCAGGCCGTGGCAGTGCAGCAGCGGGCCGATCGAGGTGACCTCGGTCAGCGGCCGGGTCAGACGGGGTCGCAGCCACCGCTCCAGCTGGTCACTGCGGGGGGGAGGGGAGGGGTCAGAGGGGGTCGCAGCCACCGCTCCAGCTGGTCACTGCGGGGGGAGGGGAGGGAGTTGAATTTCCAGCTATCCACTGCAGGGACGAGAGTAGGAGTGAATATGTCACAAGAAGCGACGACAGAGGCATATGGAGACGGGTCTGGGAGTCTGACAAGACCCAAGGACGGAAAATACTGGAGTAATTTTCGACTACGGAGAGGGCGAACAAATACGCATTATACATGAATGAAAAGCAGCACGTGAACATTTCGTTTGGGCAAACATAACAGTTAAAATATTGACGATATTTCATATAAATATCAACACTCAGATAAGTTAAAAACCCTAATCGACTTTAGCCCCGCATGTAGCGCCGCTAGTCGGATCGGGTTACACAATACGCACCACCGAGTGCCAAACAAAGCCACAATTACATACCAAACTTTTTTGTGGTTCAGAGTTCCGCAAGGCATGCTGGCCCATCGAACACACCGCTTCAAGCAAGAACATTTTAGGAAAGAATCGCATGAATGTCGTGAGTTGCTATCGCAATGACTGCACGTCATGCAAAAGGCGTGCGTGGCATAAATTGCTTATTAGGGTGACGTTGAAAGATAGCCAGGACGTGCTCATCAGTCATATGAGCCATTATTTTACAATTCTGATGATTTACACCCAATAACTATTCGGATCATACCGTGAAACGTCAGCGCACTCTGACAGCTGCCAGCAAAGTGTGACGGCAGCACGGCTTGCAGTACCAACCACCAACCACAAAATGGCATTTCAAGCCCATTTATAGTTATTTCACTACGAGCCGAGTTCGTTTGAAGCCTAACGTTGACGGCGGCGGTTGCAGTCGAGTCAACGTTTGGCAATGGTCAGATAAAGTGGAATTTACGTGTAACAGGGACAGGGTAGAGTGTACCAAATACCAGTAGATAACAAATTAAGCCATAAAACGCCTTGCACTGTCCGGTTTACAGCAGAGAGGATGCAGTGTTCCTGGTAATTCACAAGAAATTCTTCTAAGACGGACTGAAAATGGCTAATGTAGAAAACATAGCCCTGCTAGAGCTTATCAATGAGTCTGTCAGCTTTTACTATCCCCCCCCCCACACACACATACTAAGTCGGTAGAAGAACATAGAAGACTGATCCAGAATCATGTCCATGCGTTTCGCGCCGACTCTTCTCCGGGTCAACAAACCACGCGTCAACAGCGTGCGTTCGGCGGACGGACCGGGGATAATTGGCGAGGGTGACGGTCAGGGTCAACCCTTTCACTGAGGACAGGTGCGTCAGGCGGCATACCACCCTCCCTGAGGGCAGGCCTGGGGCTAATCGAGAAGGAGCGCTGGGAAACAACAAATACAGAAAGGGGATAGTCGTGCGAACGGGCGCGGTGACAGCGGGCGGTGAGAGGTGAACGTCGGACGTGTGAAAAGTAACCGTCGGACGTGTGAAGAGTAAACATAGGACGTGTGAGAAGTGAACATAGGACGTGTGTGAGGCACAGGCGGGTGACGAGGCGCCACCATGGTGCCAGCATGCGGACTGCCGCTGACCTGCGCGGTACTGCTGGCGGCTGCAGTGACGGCGCGGGCGGCGCGTCCCAAACCGGAGCCGTATCTGGACTGGCTGACTCTGCACCGGACCGATCCCGGCGAGCCCGAACGGCGCATCCTGGTGACGGTGGTGCCCGACCCGCAGCACGACTACGTGCGTCACCCAGTGCCCGGCTCGCCGTGGTCGCCGGCGCCGATCGGCACCGGGCCGCCGCTGCAGCCCGGGGAGCTGGCTGAGAGCGAGCCGTCCGACCAGCCGGTTCCGCAGCTGCTGTCCACGCAGCGGCCGCCGCGGCCGGACTCGGAACTCCGTCAGCAGACCCCGGCACTGGAGCCGGCCGGCGACCCCCGCCAGCAGACCCCGGCACTACAGCCGGACTCTGAACTCCGTCAGCAGACACCGGCACTACAGCCGAACTCTGAACTCCGCCAGCAGACACCGGCACTACAGCCGGACTCTGATCCGCTCCAGCAGACCTCGGCACTGCAGCCGGCCGAGGAGTCTGGCCAGCCGGAGTGGACGCGGGACCTGCCAGCCGAGTGGACCGACCGCTACCCGGTGGCCAGCGCCTACATGGACAGCTACCAGAGCTACACCTCGGAGCCGAGCCGGTCCCTGTCGCAGACGGAGGGCCCGGCGGGAGGGCCTCAGCTATATTCAGCAGAGGAGTGGCAGGACGGCAGCGCGTCCAACTGGCTCACCCATCACCTTCCCGTGTCCCGGCCGGTCGTAACTGCCGATACAGACTCCCACCAGATATCTCCCAGCGAGCCGCCTCAGTCTAGAGGACAGTCTCTAACCGACCAGCTACACCAGGCGCAGCACCCCTGGTCACAGCACATGCCGCCTGCCTGGCTTCAGAGCCCACTGTTCGATTCTGAAATCGAATGGCCCCTTGAGGCCAATACATTTGAACCGGACGACCTCGAACAGCAGGCTGAGCGGCTTCAGGAGGAACAGGCACAGGAGCGAGAGAAGGAACAGGAAGAGGAGGGATGGCCAGAGGAGCAACAGAAGTCGCATTACGACCAACAGGAACGCAAACAACCGGAACAGCAACAGAAGGGGCAGCGAGAGGAACTTCGGGATAAAGACGAGAAACAACACGCAGATGGTGAACAAGACAGGACACACTACGATTGGTATATTGATGAAGACAAGGAAGAAACTGAATATCAAAACATGGAATATGCGGAAGAAGAACAAGAAGAGGATGAACAAACATCAGACGCGAGCCATTCCTACGAAACAAAAGAACAGGACTATCAAGAAGAAATACGACATGACGAACAGTCAAGCGCGACAGATGACCAGCGTGATCAGATAAGAGAACCAGGAAATGGACAAATCGAGGAGCAGCCAGATGATGAACAACTCAATCAACCACAGGAAGGTCAGGATGCCGAGATGCCGTACCACCCGCCTCCGCCACCGCCACCACCAAAGTTCCCAGCGCCGGTGTGGTTGCAGCAGGCTGGAATAACGTCCCACGATCTCCTGCTGGAAGGTGAGCGTTATCCAGAGCCAGCCATGATCAGCGCTCCACAGCCAATCAGTTATCTACAGACCACCGTGTCAAGCATTCCAGAGACAACCACACCAATGAAATCAGAGCCAGACAATTCTCCAGAGGCGACAACAACATTCAGGTCAAAGACAACTACACCTAACAGTTCGGACACAATCATTTTTCAAGAGCCAGCCATACCAGATAATCTGGAAACAACTACAGCCAGCAGTTTAGAGTCAATCAGTTCTCAGGATCCAACCACGTCCACCAGTCCGAAGCCAGCTGTAAAGCCGAAGCCAGCTGCGCCCCGCAGTGAGGACACACCCGCGACGGGAAGTCCGGAAACAATCACGCCCACCGGCCCAAAGGCCACTGTGCTGGGAAGCCCGGAGCCAACCGTTCCCACCAGTCCACAGCAAACTCTGATCAGCACCCCGGAGCCCACTATAGCCATCAGCCAGGAGCCAGCCGCACCAAGCAGTTCAAACCCTACAGCTACCAGCGCTCACAAGTCAAATTCTACCAATGATCTGGAGTCAAACCCCACAAGCACCACGGAGTTACTCGCCACCAGCAGTACAGAGTCAACCGCCGCCAGTGATACGAAGTCAAGCCTCAACAGCAGCTCAGAGTCCAATTCTACCAGCACCCCGGAGTCCCTCGCGCCCAGTCCGACCCGCCGCCCGGACCGCCGGCCCGGGTCGCTGCTGTCGCGCCTGGTGGGTCCGCTGCTCACCTGGCAGGACCGGCCGTCCGGCCAGCGGCTGCTGAGGTACCTGGCCAACCCCCTCAGCTCCGAGCACTGGACACAGCAGCGCCGGCGCCGCAGCAGTGATCAGCTCGAAACACACAGCCCAGGTCAGTCGGGGGTGGGTGGGGATACAGGACGGTGGGGTTAGGGTGAGGGCTGGGGGGTGAGGACTGAGGGTGAGGGTGGGTGGCGATATGATAGGGTCAGCTGAGTTCAGTCCGGAGCTAGGGAAGGAGATCGGGGGCGTTATGAAACCCAAATAAGAATACAGTAATGGCTTTGTTCAGCACCAGTGAACAAAGTCATGACTTTTGTTTAGCATTGTTCTGCCAAATATCGAATATTCAGAAAACTAATCCGGTACAGTTTTTTTACCGGCTTGTTGAGTTGTGACGCCCATTCCGAAACATAAATTATAATTGCCTGACGACCCCATGCCGTGTCTACAGATGCGCTGTCGCAGGAAGAAGGCAAAACTAATTATACAGGGGATTTCATCGATGACCTCGGACAACCTGACGTCATAGCTGGGCAATATGACGTCACGACTGAGCTGTCTGCCATCGAACACGTGCCTGACATCACTCAGACAATGATGATCTCCACAGAACCATCACCAGCCGAGACAAGCACTACTGAGACATCGTCAGCCGAGACAAGCGCTACTGAGGCATCGTCAGTTGGCACAACCTCCACTGAACCATTGCCAGCTGAGACAAGCGCTACTAAACCTTCGCCAGCTGAGATAAGCTCTACTGAGCCATCCCTTGCGCCTACCAGCTCCACTGAGCCATCTATTGCTCCCACTACCTCTCCTGAGCCATCTATTGCTCCCACTACCTCTTCTGAGCCATCCATAGCTCCCACTGAGTCCTCCGTGGCTCCCACTGAGTCATCCTTCGCTCCCACCGCCTCCACTGAGCCCTCGTTAGCTCCCGCTGAGCCATCCATGGATCCCACCATCTCAAATGAGCCATCCCTGGCACCAACTACTCCCACTGAGCCCTCCCCGGATCCCACTGAGCCTTCTCTGGCTCCCACCGATCCACCTCCAGCTCCCACTGAGTCCTCCGTGGCTCCCACTGAGTCCTCCGTGGCTCCCACTGAGCCACCCCTGGCTCCCACTGAGTCCTCCGTGGCTCCCACTGAGTCCTCCGTGGCTCCCACTGAGCCACCCCTGGCTCCCACTGAGTCCTCCGTGGCTCCCACTGAGCCATCCTTGGCTCCCACCTCCCCCGCTAAGCCACCTCTGGTTCCCACTATCTCTACTGAGCCATTCCTTGCTCCCACCATCGCTGAAACATCCCTGGCTCCAAGTACTTCTACTGAACCACCTCTGGCTCCCACCATCGCTACTGAGCCACCCTTCGCTCCCACCGCCTCCACTGAGCCCTCGTTAGCTCCCACTGAGCCACCCCTTGCTCCCAATGAGCCACCCTCCCTGGCCCCCACCGAGCCACCCCCAGCTCCCACCGCCTCCACTGATCCCGACTCGCTGCAGTCGGAGGTGGTGGAGGCGTCCGGACCGGCCGGCCCACCTCCCGCGGCCCGCTGCGGCGTCACCTCTGACCAGCCGACTCGGATAGTCGGCGGCGCGCCGGCCGCCCCCGACCGCTGGCCCTGGATGGCCGCCCTGGTGGTGCGCGTACCCTGGTACGGCTCATGGGTCAACTGCGGAGGGGCGCTCATCAGCGGACGGCACGTGCTCACCGCCGCGCACTGTCTGTACAGGTTAGTCGGGGAAGGGGACATGGCTGACCGCCGCGCACTGACTACAGGTCAGTAAGGAGAGGGCACGGGGCTCACCGCCGCGCGCTGCCTCTGTAGGTCCGTCAGGGGAAGAGACGGAGCTGGTCTGGGGCACGCTGGCGCCCGCCATCCGCAATGCTCAGCTTTGTTCGACAGTAACACCGCGTGTTTTTATATATTGCACTAACGTCAGCTAGCAATTGAGTCGGCGTCATTCCAAGTCCAACAGACCGGTGACGCCGCATACAACGCTTGCCTCTATCATGCATTATACAGCGTTCCCGTGCATTTCCTGTATCTTTGGTCGCTGTCCTGCAAATTCAGCAATCTTATACCAAACCACTCCTTCCGTTCCTACGTCCCAAGCAAAGGCACTTCTTCACACTCCCATTTGTAAACGCACCCTCGCCTCTACCACACACTTCTCGCCTACCCTCTTTTACATTAGCGAGGATTCACAATACCAACAAAATACCAAATGTGTTAGCCTCGAAATACCGAATACCAAGTTGGTATTGGTTTGGTATCGGTATACCAAAAAGTTGGTATCCGATCGACATCTCTACACCACACCTCAGTGCATAACCCCACCCCACTCTGCCCGCAGCATCACCCGTCCGTCGTCTCTCCGCTCCCTGGTGGTGCGTCTGGGAGAGTACCGTCTCTACACGGCGGCGGACGGGCCCCACCTGGACCTAACACCAATCTCCATCACCATCCATCCCGCCTACGAGCACTACAGCCAGCGCTTCGACTTTGGCATCGTGACGCTGCCGTACGACGTCACGGTGCACACGGCGGCGAACAGCGGTCTGGCGGAGGACCTGCTGCCCATCTGCCTGCCGACAGCTGGCGAGCAGTTCGTCGGACAGAACGGCACCATTCTAGGTGGGTGGGACATGGAAAGAGACGCCAACAGGGCACCATACTTAGTGGGTGGGACGGCACATAGGGGAGCGGAGAGGAGTTTAGAAAAGTCTACTGGTGTAATGCGATAAGGAATTGTTATCTGGTTGTTGATAGGTAAATCTTTAAGAGTTCCATTAAAAACTGCACCTGCCTTATGATCCAGTGATCATGTCATGTAACCTGAAAACCATTACTGCACACGATCGGTTGACTAATGAGATCCAGTCAAATGCCACTTCCAGGGCATCAGTGATGAAACGTGACAGACACCATGATTCCTTCCCCATCAACACAATGTCTCTTTGTTCGCCGTTTAAAACTATATATCACGGTACCTTATCTCCTCCCTACAGACTCCCACTGGCCACTCCCTTCCTGCCACCAGGCTGGGGGAACCTACCGACCCCTACTGACCGCCCCTCCCTTCAGCCAGGCTGGGGGAACAGCAGATTCCCCCTGACCCTCTCCTCCCCTCTGCCAGGCTGGGGAAACTTCCGACCCCACAGACCACCCGTCCCCTCCGCCATGCTGGGGGAACCTCCTGACTCCCACCGACCAACCCTCCCCTCTGCCAGGTAGGGGAACCTGCCGAACCCCACTGACAGCTCCCCGCCCCTCTGCCAGGCTGGGGGAACCTCTACGAGTCTGGCTACCAGAGCTCGATTCTACACGAGGTGACGGTGCCCATCTGGAACCAGACCGCCTGCCAGCACGCCTACAGGGAGGACTCCTGGGGAGTCGGACCGGACGCCTTCTGCGCCGGACTCCCCCACGGAGGCAAGGACTCGTGCCAGGTGAGATACACGGGAGAGGCAAGGACTCGTGCCAGGTGAGACATAGCGAGGCAAGGACTCGTGCCAGGTGAGACATTTGGGGGCAAGGAGTCGTGTCAGGTGAGACATGGAAGGGAGGAAAAGACTCGTGTCAGGTGAGACATACGGGAAAGGGCTCGTAACTAGCAGATAATTCAGAAGGATATTTTTCGCAGGAAAATCGTCAGCTGTTCATTTCATTTCAGGTTTTCACATGTATGCAAGGTCCTACAAGGAATTAATAAGGAGGAAAGTTCGCCCTATTGCACGTTTAAGTTGATCCATTGTTTTCAACAACCAAGTAACCAACACTGAGAGTCTGTGAGAGTGCAACAGTATTTTACCACAAGGTACATTTTGATGACACACTAGACACTACCACTGATATTCCGTCAGTGCTTTGGTTTTGCACCAAATATTTCGCCCCATTGAACCTCGAAGTAGCTTGGGGCTAGCTTTCTCCCATCCTCGATGAGCCGGCCAAACTAGTAACTAACTAGTAACCAACTATAAACCGTGAATACCACTGGAGTGACACAGTCCGCTCAACGAACCGATCAATACCCCTAAGCACCGCCCCCTCCTCTGACGTCCACCCCCCCCCCCCCCTCTGCCTCCCAGGGAGACAGCGGCGGTCCGCTGATGGTCCGCGCTGGTCCGGACCAGCTCTGGACCGTGGCCGGCCTGGTCAGCTGGGGAGAAGGCTGCGCCCGGCCCGAGTTCCCCGGAGTCTACTCGAACGTGGCCGCCGCCCGCGACTGGATCGACTCGGTGCTGGAGCACCACGAGTGAGCGCGACTCGTGACGGTCGCCGTGACTCGTGATGGTGGTCGTTACTCGTGAATCACGTCCCGGACACCCGTGTGATGGTTGTCAGTGTTTCGTGAGTCACGGCAGCCGCTGGTGTATAGGAAGGCAGCGACTCTCTGAATCGGTCTCTCAACGGTCGTTTATATGCGGGTGCGGTATCCACCAGGGCATCAAACTACACTCACAGTGAACGGTGGAAAACGCGGGACAAGCCGGAGGAATGGGACGGAGTGGCGGCCGAGTCTGCTCACCTGTCGTCGCCGGTAATCTCCAGCAGGTGGAGAGTGGATGACGTCACCACCAGGACACACTCCTGCTGCTGGTACTGCGGCTCCAGCGCGCACGTCACCTGCCAAACGGGAGAGCCGCAGTGTAACAGCCAGAGGTGTTCGATCGTGGGAATACAAATAAATGGGAACCTACACAACATGTGTAGTGAATGGATCCGTGAAACAGCGTGTAAGCTGATAAACGACCTCACTATTGCATCAAAACAGGGCAAAAATAAACACGAATCCTAATGTCACCAAACTACTCGACAGTCAACCGCATTCGTTATCAAACACTACATTTCCTCCCCCTTCTCAGCTAGCCCAATCCCCGAGAGAAGCACTGTTGCAGCCCCCCCCCCCCCTTCAGCGAGACACCCACCTTGGAGACGCACACCACCTGCTCGTCATCATCCAGCACGTTCATGTCCAGGTGAAGCTGCAGCCGGTGATCGAGACGCGTCGGCTCGTCGTGCCAGAACCGCACAGCGCCCGAGCCGACCTCCTCCACAGAGTCGGACTCTGACTCGGACTCCGAGTCGCCGCCGCGCCGCCAGCCGTCCAGCAGGGCCTGCGAGCAGCGACTATCGTTCGGTGCGGCCGCGGCGGACTGATTGCAACATTCCCGCGAGGTGGCACTAGTGTTGATAGGCGAGATGGCGCTAGTGTTGATCGGCGAGATGGCGCTGCAGTCGAGGGCGTCGCTGGCGGCCGATTCGGGCGTCAGGGTGCAGCTGAGGTCGGCGACATCCGAGGCCGGCGCGGGCGCGGGTGGCGGCGGGTGAGGCGCGGCGCAGACCCTCTTGTCCCGCACGGTGCAAACGCTGGCAGTCATGGAACCTGGGAGAGGGTAGCGGGGTTAGAGGCTAGGTCATCGAAGAGCGTTCATTCATATTGCATAATGTCGGCATCAACTGCCGACATCAACTGCAGAGGGAAAGTTACTGGATTGCTACCAAACGACGTTTCGGCAGGCAACAAAACATGCTCCACTGCTGTCTGGTCACTAAACTCGACCCAGCGCTGCTGGTCGCAAACCGTCAATAGAACAACCATAGAAAAGAACAGCTAGCGCAGTTTCTGATTAAATTTTAAGCCAAAATACCTACTTCGATGACGTCCCACAATACGACCCAAACCCATAGCAGCATGAAATTCAACCATCAAATGGCAATCCACTTTACGGGTTATCCAATGCATTGGGCGGTAGACCCTAATATGTGGAGAGGGTTGGATCACGAGGAGAGGGTCGTTAGTTATGTAAGAAGCGTGATAAAACGCCAATGCAAGGTCACAAACTCAGGACCACACCACATATATTTTACGCTTTCACTTCCTCCTCCAATTGGGGTAGGTAATAGGCGAGGAAAATCTTAAGAACGTAGCACGCCAGGTAGCTAAAACCACGCCAAAGGCACACGCAAGTCCGGGTGCCCGCATACTGGTTTGTTAGTAACACCTGGGTAATGGGTTAGCCCCCGCGACCGTGCCTGACGCTAGGAATCTGGGACTGGGTTAGAACGAGCCCCGGCTGACCTACCGATGAGACGCGGGGCGCCTGCGGGCACACCGGGGTGTGTGGTCAGCTAGGGAGACTGTGTGGTACTGGACGGACTGAACTGACCCAGCACGTGGTCAGCACCGCTCGTAAACCCAGACACCGCCATCCAGGGAACGGCCCCAGCCCTCCACCACACTCAGTGTTTTGTACCCATGATTGCAGCTCAATTATAAACCACGTACGGATAACTACTGTACACCAGGGTCCAGGGAACTCCTAGCATCCCCACCTCCTCCACAAAGGTGCATACACCGTGACCCCGCTCCGACCGGCGCCTAGCCTCACCTGACGAGCTGCTCTCCTCCATGGGCGGCTCAGCAGCACGGACGGCGCCGCCCGGGGCTGCAGATCGGCCGGCGGCGGCCGCCTCCCGACCCTCGGCCACAGGGCGGGTGTGCGACTCCTCAGTCTCGCTCCTACACGGGGTGGGTGCGGTCAGAGTCACAGCCATGATACTGTAGTGGTGTTGGACCAGCCACTGAGGCGTGTTTGTCACTGACCAGCGTCTCGATTTGTGTTTCGATTACACACACAAAAAAAAACATAATTCAACTTCAGCGAAACGACGCGGACAAAAAGCAGTAACGATCGGCACAAGAAAAGGGAAACTCTTAACGCCATCAAAACAAAACCATTACATTTTCCATAAAATGTTATGATCATTCTCTTCCCTTCCCTTTCTTCTTTTTATCTCCCATGCAGAATCCCTTCCATCAACCTTCCCCTGCCCATTGCCTATCACCACCCCTCAGCCCGCCACCCCAACCTAACCCCTCTCCACTGTCACAAAAAGACCTTACACCACGACCCCATCCCTCACCGTGTCGTTGAGTCCATGATGACGTCGATGCTGCTCTCGCTGGGATTGCTGATCACCTCCACATCGCTGTCGGACCGGACAGGCACCGAGTCCGCCCTCTCCGGGGTGGTGTGCCCCGTCTGACGGCCACCCGGACGCACCACAGGCTCCGGCTCGGGCGTCACCACTGTGGAGACGGACACGGGGAGCGGTCAGTGGGGCGGAAAGCAGGGCTAAGCAGGGACGTGGTAACGCAGGGCTATGCCGTATCAGTGTAAGACACTGGTAAGTGACGAGACAGTAGGGTCAACTACAAGCGCTGGTTTACTTTTAATCAATCTAGATAATGCATCTCCGCCTCAATTTTGGCCTCTCCTGCCCTGAAACACCTCAACACTACAACCATTTTAGAGCAGTAGCCACAATCAGAGCAACTTCACAAACACATTCTCTGTGGCAAGTCGCAGAGCACTCCTGGCATCAGGCATGCCGAATATCTGACGATATCTGAATATCTGACAGGACAGGACAGGCCAGACAGGCATAGACCTCGGGTGTCGCATCCTAGCGACACCCGACAGGACTATGCCCGCTCTGACCTGAGACGGACGAGTCGGTGCGAGTCGCTGGCCGGGTGTGGTTGGAAGAGGTCTCTGAGCTGACATGCTCGGCGTCCACCGCCTCCGCGCCAGTCGGAGTCGAGCCCAGCAGGGCGGCTGGTGGGGAACGGACAGTCCACAGTCACACATAGAGAGGGAGATGTGGGGACAATATCGGCTATTGCAACTGCAGACCTGATGCTTGACTACTTGCAGGGTTTAATTAGATGCAATGTCTCCCAGACATCAATATGAAAGCTGAGAGCATTGAAAGTGCATTACAGTTACGTCACATCTTACACCATGACAATCATTTAACCCGCGCACCGACGGGGGTCTGCGCCAGCTTCGCACCGACGGGGGGGGGGGGCGGATGACCGCCCCCCCCCCTGAGATCTCGAGAACGAAGCAAGATAGCGACAAGCGGTAAACGGCATCGGATACGCACGGTCAAGATCTACAATTTTTACTAAGGTCTTTTTCAGGTCAGGTCAAAGATGACGTCACAGGGGTCGAAAAAGCCAAAATGGCGGTGCTAGATATGGAGAGATTTTTTCTCGAATAACTTTCGAATTAGTCAAGATAGGAACAAACTAAGGGCATCATCGTGATCCTCTCGTCAATCCGCATCGAATGATATATATGTTGACCTCGAAAGGACAAGGTCAAAGGTTGACCTCAGGTCACGTGACCTCGAGGTCAACATGTATATCATTCGATGCGTCTTGACGAGCTGAACACAATGAGACCATCCACGCGGCTGTATCTTGTTCCTGTACGGAGTTATTGGCCAAAAACCTTTGGTGACCTTTGATGACGTCACATGACCTCACAGCTGCCCAACAGCAAAACAGACCTCAAGGTAGTGAAGGTTGATCGTATATGAAGTCATGTATGGTATATGGGGCCATTCCGACCCGTTTTAGTGGTAAAAATAGGGAGTTGATTTTTCCCCCATTGACTTATAATGGGGAGGTCGCGAAATTGACCTGACCTTAGGTCACCGATATCAAAATTCCGAGATATACAAATTGTAGCTACTAATGACCTTATAACATCCTGCGACTTTCAAAGGCCTCCGACATCTACTGTAGCTCTGGCACGGTGACAAAGTTGCAAAAAAGTGACTTGAGGTTGGGTCATTCAAAGTGACCTGGTGACCTGACCTTAACCCTCGCCGGACCTATTGGTTTTCTACATACGCGCCGGCCGAGGGGGGGGGGGGCGGGTACGACCCCCCCCCCTCGCCGTTTCGCCCCTGGTGGAGCTAGCGCGTCGCGGAAAAAACGAGCGTGTGCGCCGTTACGAGACGCAGAGATTGGTACCCGATTTTAAGGTCCTAGGTCAACCGGTGACCTCTGAGGTCAGGTCAAGTGCCCCAAGGTACGGTTCAGTTTTTGGTGAATAACTTCGCAAAAAACGGCCGCAGAGCGCCGATTTTGGCAGCATCGTGTTCGTCTCGCTCAGGCGCGTCGAATGATATACTTTTTGTCCGGGTCAGGTCAACTTGGGGTGTTGACCTCAGGTCAAGGTCAGGTCAGCACCCCCAGGTCACGAAGTTGGTCGAAAGAGGTCATGTCGCATATCATTCGATTCGGCAGGTCTTCCTGAGTCCATTGGTGGCTTTCCCGACTCGCTAGCTCAATTTGATCAAGAGTTATTGACGAAAAACTAATATGACCTTGATGACGTCATAAATGACGTCACGCAAGGTCAACATTGCAAAAGTGACGCATCTAACCTTGCAAGGAGTGCATAAAATCACGATTCTGTGTGCTTGAGATAGTTGGAGATCGCTCCCGGCGCCAGAATAGCAGTTTTCATTTTTCCCCATTGACTTATAATGGTGAGGTCACGAAAATGACCTGACCTCATATGACCTTTAGGAAAAATCCGAGATATACAAGTTATGGGACTCATAATGGATACTAGATCCTGCAAGTTTCATTTCCCTGTGACATCTCCTCTGGCAGTGAGGGCGTTGCGAAGTTGCGACATCTGAAGACCGTGCAGAGGTTCACTTATGACGTCATAGGTCAGTGACCTGACCTGACCCAAAAATGCGGTTGGTGTCAAAAGATGCGGCTTGGATCAAAGGTCAGGTATGCCAAGTTTCACCTCTCTATCGCCAGCGTGTTCGGAGCTATCGCGAAAAAACCCTATGGGGGGGGGGGCGGCACCCGCCCCCCCCCC